ATTAGCAGCCTTACAAGTAGTAATATTATTATAAGTGTTTCGATATCTTAGTTATTTTAGTGGACACTTCAAATTAATAATTTCTTATAAACCGTAAGAATTTACGAAACCTATTCAGGACAATGTGACAAGCGTGGTCTAGAAAACAAAGAGGAAGACAGGAAAATTCTTTCCCGTCAATTCTTTGTTAACATTTTTTGAAGATGCAGCCCGATGACACGGCAAACAGGCACATCGCTCTCGCGAGAGTTATCATGACTGAAATTCGTCTTGGAATGTTGACCCTCCGGGTGGAATACTTGCCGGTGACTGGCGCTGGCGCTACTCAGAGGCGCTGGCGTCAATCTGCCCGGCCGCTCGAGTAACCGCGGCCGACTGGTTGACGCCCCCGACTTCAAACGAGTCCACCTTATACTTTGCCCCCTTTCTCCCTGGACTAACTTCCCCCCGCAGTCATTCCCACCGTTCTCATTGCAAAATAATAGATAAAATTTATGCAAGCGGGCGATCACTTGCTTGTAAAAAAAACCTAATCATCGCCGCCTCCTGCTTTTTCCACTCACCCAGCACTCCAAGACGTATTTCAGTCATACAATAAACCTATAGATCTATGATCAATTCGCATAACAAGGGTTTCCTATAGAATCCTTCTGTAATATTGATTCAACATACTGATCAGTTTATTCGGAAGGAATAAAAAATTTGAAAAATGTGTTCGAGAAAAAGAATTCATCAACATTACTTGAAGACCCAACAAAAAGTTTTTTTGGTCCACGAACAGAAGACCGAAATGAGAAAGGATACACGAGCAACCAAAATTTAACCGATTCCCCGACAGAAACTCCAGCAAGTCAAATTTCTTTATGCTAGAATATTTTTAAAGATGATGGTATTTGCTCCATCCTCCTAATATGCATGATACATTTTACGGACGCGGATGATTACACGAAGGGAAAGGAGTAACACGGTAATTTTCAAAAGCACAAGAGATCCAAGATACTCTCAACAACCGTGTAGATTCACGGGTGCCTGCGAGCGGTTGGCACCGGTGGCGCCGCGTGCGGCGAACGTCGGAAGCGCTGGCGCGGCGGGGACGACGGCCATGTTTAACAATCTCCCTTGTGTGTTTAGTATGCTGTGGTCGGTGTA